TACATTAAAAAAAATAATAAATCTCACGGGACAGTAAAATACAGTTAAATTTACAGTTTTTCAGTTTTCCTGTGTGACACACACATTTGATGGTGTATCATTGAATTAACTTTCTTCTTATCAGATATGTTATTTTTAAAAAATAATATTAGGAATTTTATTACATCTTATGTTGTTAAATGTTGCATGTATTTTTGTGTATTACATTATGCGCATCTTATATAAACATACATACATATAGTATATATCAGAGTGAGGGCCTCCATGTTTGTGTGTGTGCTGCTCACTACAGGATGCTTTTTATCTCGCTCCTGACCTCTGCCACAGAGCAGATAAGATCACCCCATCCTGATCCTCGGAGTGAAAGGTCAAAGCCATCTTTCATTCCAACAGAAACCAAAAAAACATGAATGCGCTTACATATTAGGTAAAAACAGCACACAGATCTATACATCATAATAATGCACATGTGCCAGTTATACTGTCTGCCTACTTATGTAAAAATTATCATATAGTTTAAAGGGGTCATATGATGCGATTTCAAGTTTTCCCTTCTCTTTGGAGTGTTACAAGCTGTTCGTGAATAGATAAGATCGCTAAAGTTGCAAAGACTAAAGTCTCAAACCCAAAGATATTTTCTTTATAAAAGTTTAGACTTGTCCACGCCCTCCTAAAACGCCTCCTGAACGCTAAAGCAACATTACAGTCATAGGTTTGATTTGGAGGGAAGACACATACTCATATACCCTAAATGCACTGCAATTTGCTTTTGATAAATACATTAACGTGAATATCTGAAGTAGTTTTATCTTCTAATTTGATCAAAAGGAAACACTAGCTGTCCATTCTCTAAATATCAAAAAGTCATAAATAGTGTTGAATGCTAAATTTTCAAAAAATAATGAAATGTATTATTACTATTAACATTATAGAAAATAAGAGAAAAATAAAAACAAATAAAATTAAATAAAAAAAATATTCATTACATTATTTTCTACCATAGTATTATTTTTAATTACAACGGCAACAATAATTAAAATAACAAAAATGAACAATTTCAGAGAATTTTCCATCATAGTATTATTATTATTATTATTAAGAAGAAGAAATAAAAGAATAAGAGAATAAGAAAAATAAGAGAAAAAGAATAAAGATAATCAAAAAGTATCTTCTATCATTTCTTCTACTTATTATTATTATTATATTTTAAAGTATGTATATTAATACCATTACTGGACTCTTTATGTCAATAAAGTACTTAAAAAATTATATTGACTGAGAGTGAAGATGCTGATGCACATTTTAAGGGACATTAAATCTCAAGACAACATGCATTTAACACTAAAAATACACAATATGCCACAAAAGAACAACTGTCTCAAATTTAAGTCTGTAAGAGAGATGTGTGTAATACGTCTTTGAGTTGCTGGAGGAAACATGCTGACATATCTACCATATAGTCCTAATCTCTGATAATCCACATAATTCCATCAATATGTTGTGGCAATTCCTCAGGGTCACCAAATCTGTGAGTTGATTTGATGAAATACACACATGGTAAACTGCAGCCAGTGCAGCTTGTGTGTTTTGTCTATCATCAGCATGCATGCTCACACTCACACTTACTTACTGTACATTACATTTATATTCCTGGCAGACACATCCTGAAAGCATTCATACACATTTTGCTACTTATTTTCAATAATCCTTGCTGCATATGCCGCCACATAATACAATAAGACATTCTCAAACCTTGTAAAAATGCAATTAAAAAACAATTTAATCAGCTGAAATTACACCATGTAACAAAATAACCACGGCACAGTTTACCAAAAACAAAAAACTTTGAGATGTACACATAAGTTCAGCAGGGCAAGACATTCATATAAGGCCAGTGTTACTAAACCAAGCGACTGCTGCAAACTCGCCGTTTGTGGAATTGGTTGCATAAATCTTGCTTTTTGCTTTCATTATGCCCTCTCTTGTGCTCCGTTCTCTCACTCTTTCAAAATGAAAAACGAAAAGAAAAAAAACCATGAGGGTTTCCTGGGGACTGTCTGGAAAATAAAAAGTGAAAAAGAAAAAAAAAGCCTTTGGCTAACTTAGGTCCTCCTTCCCCAAAGTGCCTCATAAAAATTGTTTAAATCATCATCCGAAAGAATGAAATGGATGTGCAAAATCATATTCGCTGAAAGGCAGAGCGGGGACCACAGGGTTCACGCAGCGGTCTTCAGCGACCGTCTGGGGGCCACATTCATCAGTTCGAGCCTTCACTATTAAACCCTCTCAATCAGCTAAAAAACAGAGCGCTCGGTTTTGATGTGTTCATTATTGCACCCAGTTCGCTGCGTCCTTGTGCATGTGCAAATGGGAGAATAAAAGTAAGCGAGAGAGAGAAATAAAAGAATGGTCACTGTTTACTTTACAGTGCTCTCCTGCTGGAAATCGTAAAAAAGTTACCGAAATTCACTCTAATATTTCAAGCTTAATTTAAATCGGGGTATTTCAGGCCTTAAAAGGAAGTTAGCATATTATTGCAACGCGCACACACGGTTTCTTTGTCTGAGTAGATGGCGTGTGATGGACAGACAAGGCCAAGCGCATTACCTGCTTTTCTCATTGTGAAGCTAGAGCTACGCATACCTCCTGAAGGAATGTGAGCGAGTGTGTGTCGACTGAAAGAACACATCCAGTGAAAGCGAGATACAGGTTGTATTTGCAGCAAAGCTACAGATGAAATCCTCCCCTACGCACACGCTCGTTATAAGATCTCTAAAGGTTATGCAAATAAAGATGGCCGATTTGAGTTTCATCGTTCGCTCGCAATTTACGCTCATCTAACCACAAGTTACGTCTGGCATGATAGCCATCACTCAGAGGCTTCACATGTTGATTTTGGGAATGATAATAATGCATTAGAGCCATTCATCTAACAGCAGTTTTGGGTGTGACAGTTATTTTTAGCATTAACGTGGGATCTTTCAGCCAGAAGATTTTTATCTGTCAGTAATTATGCTTTCATAAATCATGCAGGTGTAGTACGAATGAAAATAAATTAGGATGGCTCAAAAACACAGCAGTTCGTGTGACGATTGCCGAGGGTCTTTGGATAAACAGGTAGCGTATTCAACCCATTGCTTTCCTATTAATAGGTGTGCATTTCATCCAGTTACTCCCTTCAGGCGAAGAAAGTGTGTGTGCTGGCAAAGAGGACCTAAAACATTTTTGAAATTGAAGTAAGATCCTTTTTTTCTATTCTGTTTCTGCCAGAATAAGTGATTTGATTAATTATAGGCTTCATCCAACAGATTTTAAACATGTTCACATGTAGCCTGTGGACAACGCATTTGTAAATCTATCGCAAATACACACACTCGCTCTCATTCATCCTTGTAAGTGACCTGTGTCCTGTACTGACACTCCTACCTCCTGAGGAAATGCAGTGATTTACTTTCTATCACAGAGGTTAAAGGTCAAATTCCCATTTCACTTCTGTGTTGATGGATGGCCTGTTCGGTTTTTGCCTTTTAGAGTCTCTTTAAGTATCCTGGGCTGATATTATGTAACAGCATTTTGAGGTCATCAAAAACCTGATACCAAAAATATTTAACAGTTTTATACCCGAGTAACAGATTTCTGTCTTCCTGCACTGGTTCTTCTTAATCCTCTGATGCCACTCATCTTCAGACTGCATACACTCGCACATCTTTCTGTCCTACCTTTATGTAATTTTTTTTTCTGACTGAAAAAGTTCTCTGGAAACACCCTTCTGACCCATACACAGCAAACATGTGTCTTGGAGAAAACCTCTGATCTGTCAACAATCATTTAGTGTGTGTTTTCTTTACAGATTTAGTGCCCTTTCTTATTCCTGAATGACCACCCACCACACACACACATACACAAACTGACATCTACTTGTCAGTTAAGGACGCACGTTTTGATCATCTTGTCTACTTGAGTACTTCATAGAAAAATACACATTTTTTAAATTGTTGCTGTCTAAGGCCCGGTTTCACAAACGGGGCTTAGCTTAAGCCAGGACTAAGCCTTAGTTAAATTAAGATATTTAAGCAACTTTTACAAAAGTGCCTTAGAAGAAAACATTAAGGTGTGCATCTTGACACAGAACAATGACACTGACATATTTTAAGATATGTCAGAGCAAGATATTTTCAATTGAGACAGCTCAAACATGCATTTTGGTCTGGGACTAGTTTAAGCCTTGTCTGTGAAACCGGGGGTAAAGGTTTGGGGTCAGTAAGATGTTGTCTTAATCTCACCAAGGTTGCATTTATTAGATCAAAAACAGTTAAAACAGTAATATTGTGAAATGTTACAATTTAAATTAACTTATCTATTTTAATACATTTTGTAATCTATTCTAGTCTTCAGTGTCACATGGTCCTTCAGAAATTGCTGATTTGGTGCTCACGTAACATTTATTATTATCAATCAATGTTATTATCAATGTTGTTTTGCTGCTTAATATATTTGTGGAAATTATGATGCACTTTATGCATCCTTGCTGAATAAAAGTATTATTTTTACTGACCACAAATGTTTTAATGGCAGTGTATAAACAACATAGCCAACACATTTGGGGAATTGTATGGTAAGCGACACTTTTTTAGATGTTCTGCCAAGTTAAAAACAAGTTCTTCCAAAAATTCTGAAGACCCCTTCCACTGAGTTATGCAATGTCTCGCTGTTTTTGAAAGAACGAACGTGTCCTGTGTGAACGCCCTCTAATCCTCTCCAGAGATTTGAATGCTGTTGATTTAATGGAGCACAAGTCACAATGAACAATACTGAAACAAATAGCTGTCTGATGATGCCACAAAATAAACAATGAAAACATATTCTCACCACATATCTAGGAGATGTCAACACTTAGTATATGCATGATATTTTATAATCTCTCACCTCCTAAGGGCACCTTGAATGTTCTGATCTTTTACTACACAGGAAGATACAAACACAGTCTTGTAGTGACTTACCACTTCAGTTGGCCGGTAGTACTTCGGATCCACCTTCACATGAATCTCTCCCGTCTCCTGACATCGGCCCACCTCCTCCTCATTCTTCCCCTCCCACCTAAAAGCGAGAACAAGAGCTATGAACACATTCCTTCAACTTATTTGTTTTCCAATTCAGCTGTCAGCATATGCGTTACATATTTACAATATTTATGGTGTGTTTGCGTGTTGTTTTGCGGTCTTGTACAGCCTGTCGGCGAAACAACACCAGATGTGCCAGATTAACCAGATGGGCTTAATCTGAGGTAGATGTGTGTGTGTGCGCGTGCTCTCACACAATGGCTTTGCCGACGTGTTTGAAGGCCTTCTCCACAAACTCCCGTACGCTGTGCACGTCCCCCGTCGCTATGACAAAATCGATAGGCTCCTTCTGCTGCAACATCAGCCACATCGCCTAAAACAAACAAAAACAACAAGATCAATATCATTATTATAAAGCACAATCCATTTCAGTTGACGCATATGATGCCATTAAGTGATTGATGACACCATATCAAGATGCAAATTATATAAAGACCTCATATAGGACTAAGTGCATCAAAACAGCTTTATTTTCTCAGGTTCACATTTGAGATCAAGTATCAAGACTCCCCCACATTCACACACGACACAGATTCAACACAGACACATCTGCGCCCAGTAGGATGTGCTTTTATGTGGTTACGATCTTACATACACCCCAACGCACAAACACACACGGCCGTCCCCATCCTGATGTCAGCACTAGGCCTCATGGGATGCCAATTGTGGGAATACAGCACAGAGTTCCCAAGTCCATACAACCACTACACAACGACACAAATGCACAGACTATATCTAAATAGTGATCTAGATGAAAGAGAGAGTGCTTTTGGAGAAATAAATGGTGAGATACTTAAAACAAGAATGCTTGCCAGAGGTCAATGGGTGATAATCTTTTGTCTTTTTTCTCTGGCTTTAGCTCCCTCTCTTTCTCTCTCTCTCTCACACATTTTCTGACTCCAGGGCTTCAGCGTTTAGCCAGTTGGCTGGAGAATCACCCCATTACATTGACAGAACTGTGTTCTTTTCTTCCCTTCAGCTTGATGGAGGGATAAAGACCCCATCAGCACGTTTTATGTGCTGCAGTGGGAGCGCTGCACTTGGCCGCCCAACTCATTCATATTTCACTCCGGCTGCACTCACTTAAAAAAAAAAAACCTCTCAAACGAGTTAACAGGCAGACAGAAAGAGAAACACTGAAGGAACTCACACAGCATTGGATTTTATCACAGCACAAAGTCTAAGCAATCAAACTGTATTTTAAACATCTGTAGGTTAAATAAAAATGACTGTTCTACATCACAAACCACTAAACTCCCACTGAGCAGCTCTGTTTGATTTAGTCTAGTCTGAAATGTAGAAATTCCCTCAACACACACATGCAGATATCCAAAATTAATTTTTTGGCATAAATGAGAACATTTACCTGCCATAAATATATTTTTTTACCAACCAATAAACTGATTTTTGCATTATTTTATTAAGAGCAATACATAAACACCCCTCACAGACCTGAATCGTTGCAGGCAAGTGTGTCGGACAAACGTGTGTCCAAAAATGTCTAACGTAGAAATGTTGTGGTTTTAGTAAATCCTGAAATCTGTGCAAGCAGGATTTTTCTTCAGTCTTTGCAATTTTTAAATTAAGAATATATATTTTGTCCCAGTGTCAATTGATTTATTAAACATACTTGTGACAAACAGCTCAAGTCACTGTATCATTCACAGCTTTCAGCGTCTGTCACAAAGACATGAAGACGACACATTGCGATGTTGTTCCTCATATTTTTGTTGAGGAATATTCCGCATATGTGTCGTCAGAGAGTTCTGGAGAAGATGAATGTCTGACAGTACATTTCCCCCCGAAGTAAAAGTAGTTAGTCACGACAGATGTTTTCTTTAGAAGACGCAAGTCACTGACATCAAGCTGGGGTCAGACTTCTTACAGTTTGACAAACCATATAATGTTGCAATTCCTAATAAAATTACCGGCTAATTGGCAAGTAATTTTATTTATACAAAGATTATACTGGCAGTTGGTGCTCTGTGAATGCTAATTCTGGAGTATACACACATATACACATAAAATATGTAATAATGACCATGATGACACCATGAGGCTAGTAAGAGGAACGTCACAATCGAGAAAGGTCAAAGGTCAAGACAAAGCTTTTATTCTGTCTTCACCAATACAGCTTCTAAATGATGAAACCAACATGTAACAGAGGTGACTGTGTCTGTGTGCAAGAGAGAAAGACTGAAGAGAAAACAAGAGGGACAGACATAGCGTGAAACAGAGAGGTCAAGTGAATGGAGGAAATGGTCTGCAACAATCTCTGATCTTATTTTAGTCTCGGCAAACAGCATTCTTGGATTTTTCACTCTTTTGTTTCTCTCTTTCTCACAATCATACACACTGATGGCAAAGTGAAGCACTGTATCAGATTAATTCTTAAAACCTTCTCCATTGTGTTTGGCTTGCTTTAACAGCCATTATTATTCAGCAACTTTCTGGATTAGTCAGCAAGGACTTGAGGTGGTTTAGAGCCACTGTAACAGGAAAATTATTCTGAAATGAAACCCGGCTCATACTGTATCTGTCTTAACATCCCTTGCTTTCCATCCTTTTCTCTCCATTCCTCCCTCACGCCTCTCTCCAAGGACCATTAGCGCTGTGAGAGACAGCTGAGAGGCCTGCAGCTCAACTCCCTTCCCCTTCCTTCCTGTTCACACACACTCTCTCGTAGCGTTATGCGAGGGGTCTGGATGCTCTGAGGCTCTCGGGGTATTTAGGCAGCAAATGTACAAGCTTTGTGTATAATACAAAAAACAAGATGCTTTCATTATTTGTGTACACGGTTCGGTACCTCATTATATGTACTTTTGTCCCACAATATCATACTCCTAGACCTCTAAGGTCTTCAAAACGATCCTAGACGATCGTTCCTCTCTGTTGCGGCCCACGCTTCATAGCTTGCTGCCCCATATCAGATCCTCTCCTTCTACTGATGTTTTTAATTCCCATCTTAAAGGGGTCATATGATGCGATTTCGATTTTTCCTTTCTCTTTGGAGTGTTACAAGCTCTTGGTGCATAAAGAAGACCTGTAAAGTTGCAAAGACTAAAGTCTCAAATCCAAAGAGATATTCTTTATAAAAGTTAAGAGTCAGCCACACCTACCTAAAACGGCTCGTTCTAACACGC